AGATTTCTCTCCAGATGACGCTCCACGGTTGGTAGACCAGTTGAAGTTGACAGCGATCAGATCGGGGCACTGATTGAGAACAATCAACTTTACACCACACAGAACACTGCTGACATACTCAAACTGTCCAAATCAATAAAGGTATCGGTGAAAATGAAAAATATGTATTTTGCAGAAAAAAAAACACACGAACTCTTTGGCCAACCTAATAGTTGTTTAACATTAAATAATGGCAACCTATCTACTTTGAATCTCCCACAGTGTGCCTGGGAACCTGCTATTAAAAACCCCTTCCCTACGGAATTCCGATACCTATTCTTCTTGGGCCATAGAAACACTCATGTACTGAGTAAAATACAGAAGTCCTTTTCATCAAATCCCCCTCCTCTGACAGGACCTGCCTCACTCCCCAGTCTCACCTCCTGCCATTATGCTTAAACCATTACTGTGGTTCCCAGAAATTAATCTCTTGGGCCCCACCCCTTTGCCCTCCATCACTATCCTGTTCTGTGATGCCTTTTCTCCCCTCTTTTCCTTGTTTAACGGGTCCACTCAGCCTTCATCCTTCTGGGCTGAACTCCGTGAACTTAGCTAACTTCATTTATTAACTGCGTATAATTATCTACTTGTCTGTATACACCAAACTTGGTCTCTTGAAGGTAGGAATTTTAGCCTAGCTTAATTTTTGTAGTCCCGATGCTTGCTATGCCTGACACAGAATGAGCCCTCAATAAATGCTTATTGAAGAAGCAAGATTAAATTGTGTGAACCAGTAAGGGTAAAGGCCAGATTCTAGTTCTTTAGCATTACCACCAAGACACAGTCTCTCTTTACAACCATAATTTAATAATAATTAAAAATGAGCATAATTTCCATAATCTGGTCGTTATTAACAGCCAAATTAACTACTGTAATAGCAGAAACAGCTCATCATGTTATATTCCTGAAACCAAACAGGATACTTCACAGAACACCACCTCTCTGACACAGAATGATACAATTCGAAACTAGCTGCTACACTATCAATTAAAATTATACCTTCCCTAGGTCAGATTAGGTAAATCTCAATAAAAGTTTCCCCCCTAGAGAGGCAGAAAAATCCTTCAACTACAAGACGTGTCCAAAGAAAGGATAAGTAGAGGAAAGGAATGTAAGCAGATACACAGCTCCCTTTTACCATACTTCCGAAATGGTTTACACACCTTCACGCTTTCATTCCTCAATACTTATGTTGAGAGCCTACTCTGTTTGTGTGCTAGACCTTGGTCATGTTGAACAAGACAGCTACAGGCCTTGCCCTCCCAGAGCGCATATCCTAAAAGAGAAGGCAGACACTAATTACTTAACTGCTTAATAAAACTACAGTAACACAACTGAGGACACAAGTGTTAGGAGAGTACATAGCACAGAATCCATCCATGCTTTCTTCTGTACTGCAAATCAATTGTCTTACAGTTTTTTAGTCCAGAAACCTAATGCCCACTCTGCGTGTGCATCCCTTTCAGCAGTTATTCTGAATAACTGCCAGGTTTCCAACTGCAGCTCTCAGATGTACCTCCGGGGAAGATAAATTAAACTACTTTAAAAGTAATTTTTCCACCAGTTGCTTTTATAGTATCAACTTTTCTCCACATCTCTTTGCCCTAATATACAGGATCACATCAGGGAGTAAAATAAAAATCTCCTTTGAGTATTCTGAGTTTTTAGTCATTTATGGGTAGAGCTGTTTTCATTCAGTAAGCACTCATAAAGGACTTACTGTCAAAGACCACACAATGGGAACGTGTGATCTTCGGGTAGAAAAGGTCTTGAGATGGCGATTTACATTCCAGAGAAACTAACCACACAGATTTTTCGTTTGGACTCCACCTTCAGATTCATACTTTTTAATAGGAACATAGTTTTGAGTAAGGACCCCTTCACTAGAAGAAATAAACTTGTGCTCTCTCCTGTTTTAATAAAGAAGCTTCATTATAACAGAAAATTAACAAACTATATTTTACTAAACACTGGATGCTTACTTAATTGACCTTTGTTTTCCAGGATGACAGGAAATCTGTCAGATAGAGGAAGTGAGTCAGATAACAGAAGGGCTGGGGACTAGGAACAGAAAAGCACACTAAGATTTTCTGGAAATCAGGACCCCAATCTAGAGAAGACTGCTTACAAGAAAAAGTCAAGTCCCTATTCCACAGACTGCTGCAGATGAAATAGCTATACTATGGGCATTACCCAGAAAGACAGATCCTAGTAATGAAGAAAAGGTTTTATATCTCAATATTTATAGTGCAAAACAGATTAACAGAAGGGGAGTTGAGCTTAAGGCAAAATGGAGGTTATCTGGGTTAGTAACCTCCTTTAATTTAAAGTTGTAAAGCCCTGGCCTGGGTTACCAAGGCTCTGGAACTTCTTTCCACTTCAAATTTTAAGACAAGGCAGCAGCACCTCAGTTCAAAATGCTGTGGCACAATGTTGCTTGAAAGCAGAGGAATGCACTGTGTTGCCTTCTAAGGTCCCTTTCAGTTTTTCCAATTCCAGCTAAACACAGCCCACTATGACTTTTTGAGTTATTCACTCATTCCACAATAGTACACCAGGTGCCCAGTATGCACCGTAGCACAGGGCTTGGGCCAGGGTGGTACTCGGACAAGCCTCACCACTGGGGCATTACATTCTAATGGGGCAACACACTGAAGAACGAATTCCACGAAGAAGCAGAGTGGGCTGTACAAGCACAAGTTAGGGGAAAGCAGTCGTTGGGGAACACTTCTCTGAGGAATCAACACTTAAAATGCGAAGATGAAGATAATGGGGAAGGAAGATACAACACTGAAGACGTGGAAAACAAGAGGGATGGAGGAGACAGCTAGTAAGGCTGGTAGAGGCAGACAGCAAGTGGCGAGATGGGAAGCTGGACAGAGCCTAGGACCAGACCATTGAGAAGCCTGTCGTGAAGTTTCAGACTTAATTCCAAGAGCAGTGGGAAAACACTGGAGGGTTTCAAGTGAAGAATGGCTGTGACCAGATGTTTATTTTTCTAAAGGTCACTATGAAACACAGAAAAAAGGATTGAAAGGGCAAAGGTGAATATAGGTGAGCAACGATATTAAGTAGTACTGGAGTACAGCCCAAAGTATAAAATAAACATTCATGATTTCATATGAATGGAAATGACTTAATAAATAAATACGCATCCGGAAGGAACGACACATCTTCCATGCAGAATTCCAAATATAAATTATGTCTATAATTTATAGACATAATTTGCAGAGTATAGTATAGACTATACTCTGCCCTCAAGGTAGTAAGTGTGGGCTGCACACAGGGACTGCCTTCCAGAGACAGCGCCTCTGCAGGGAGGAACCTGACAAACAGGACCTCAACCAGGCAGTCAAAGTTAACATCCAACATCGAGGGCAGAAAGTTGCACTGACAGCATGTCCTCCTCATATGACACAATGAGAAGGGCACTTCACCTCTGCAGCCTTCCAGGACTCTGCAAAACTATGGAGATTACCAAAGACAAAAACCTGAGAAACTGTCACAGCCAAAAGGGGCCTAAGGAAACACGATGCCTAAATGTAATGTGGTCTCCTGCATGAGATCCTGGGGCAGAAAAAGAATATTAGGTTAAAAACTAAGGAAATATGAATAAAGAATGGACTTCAGCCCTGGCTGGCGTGTGCGGCTCCGTAGATTGAGTGCCAGCCTGGGAAATGAAAGGTCACAAATTCAATTCCCAGTCAGGACACATGCCTGGGTTGCAGGAGGGTCCACAATGTGGGGGTGTGAGAGGCAACCAATTGATGTGCTCACACATTAATGTTTCTCTCCCTCTCTTTCTCCCTTCCTTCCCCTCTCTCTAAAAATAAATAAATCTTTCAATAGTACTGGCTTATAAAAAACAATGGATTTCAGTTAATAATGTGTACATTAATTGTGACAAGTGTACCATACTAATGTAAAATGTTAACAGGAAAAACTGGGTGTGGAATATATGGGAATTCTGTACTACCTGCACAATTTTTCTCAAAAGCTATACTAAAATAGTCTGCAAGTATTTTCAAATAAAGAGATTACTGGGAAGTGTGGGTAATGGAATGAGTCTTCTCTAGTTCAGGATAAAAATGACAGAACACCCAGCATCTGGTGATTCACGGGCGATGATCAAGGAAGGGGGATCAGAATGAAAGGTTACTGCCCAGCTTCTTGCTCAGACCACAGGACGGAGAGAGGAGTCATTCACTGGGGAGGGAGCAGTGGTTCACTGACGACGAACCAGGTTCGGAGGGAAATTTAACCATTTACCGAAGGCCCATTATATGCCAGGCGCCCCTCAGATTCTTATAATCATGTTGCGCGGTAGACACTATGATTTGGCCCCAAGCCAAGTAAAGAAATTAGATTTCGGTTTCGGGTTTATATGTAATCCAAAGCCCGCGCTCCTTCCACTACAGAGTTCCTGCGCTCACTCCGCCTGGCAGCCCCGGCGCCACACGCACCGGCCGCGGGAGCCCCTTTCCCGGGAGAAGCGGAGTGCATCAGCAGTATGGCCTCGGCAGTCACTCCCTCTCCCCGGGCCTCGTCTGCCAAACGATCACCTCCGTCTCTGAAGTTGTATACAAGCGAGGAGGATAGAAAGTTCATTAAAATGCAGACAAGTAAAACGCCACAGACGGGAACTGTATCACCTCTCCGGGGGCTACAAAATAATAAGGATGATGAAGTAAAGAAGCGAAGGGAATTCTCTCTACTCTCGTCGAGCAGTCTCCGAAGGAAAAGGCGATCCCTGGGTGAGGGCCGAGTAGGGGGGACGAGCCTAGGGTGCTCCCACGCACCTCGACCCCGAAGCCCCAGGACTCGGCAAGACCCCCGGAGAAACGCCCGCCAGCCCGCCCTGAGCCACGCGGCACAAGGTGACACGGACCATGCCGGCTCCTCAGCCGCCTAGGAGAGGCCGGGACCGGGGGGAACAGGAGCGTCCGCGGGGCCCGCGCTACCTTGTACTTATCAAAGCCAGCCAGTTGCTCCGGGCTCACGTATTCGTAACCAGCCATGACGACCCGAACACCTAGCGGCCACTCAGCAGCCACTCTCCACGACGGGGTGCGGAAACACCAGCCCTAGCTAGGCAAGGATAGGAAGAACTGGGCTGGTAATATTGGTAAAAGAGCCGAGCTCCGCCTACCACGCATGCGTATCCGCCTTAGCCACTCCACCACCTCCCGGCGCGCAAGCACCGCCCTCACTTCTCCCCGCCCACAGAGGGAGGTTCCCTAGCCGGCCCACGCAGACCGCCCCTCTGGCCGTCGCAGTCCAATCAGCGTGGACAGAGCAACGCTAAGTCCCGCCCACCAGGTCTCCTCATCGCTTCATTCGCTAGCGTCAAAATTGGTGAGGTGAGGTGAGAAGAGAGGAGAGGTGAAAGTTCAGTTTCCCAAGGGGCTTTGCCCCTTGCCCCTAGGAAGGGGTGAGGGTTACGTGGTTCTCCGGAGTTCATAGAAGTCGAGGGTACCCTTTTAGTCTTGGCGGTAGAGTGATTGCATGCGAACCAGTTCAACAGTATCTCAGGCAAGAGGGCTTAGTTCCCTCGAGCCGTAAAAGAGCAGGAAAAGGGTCTGTGCCCAGCGCGCTTCCAGCTCCTGGCATGGAGGCACGCTGCGCACCGAAGGAACTTGCTAAACCAGACCTGGAAAAGCTGGCTCGAGGCTTTTCGCAGGCGGGAAAGAGCACCAGAGACAAACCTCTCGAGTCAGCGTTCTGAACCTTGGATCGCCTCACCACACTTTGCTCTATCAAAGTGCTCCAAATTAAGATAGCTCATATCCCCGGACCAGATAAAGGCTGATCAAGTCTCTAGGGGTCCTTAAATACGTTTGAAAGAAGTATGCTTGCATAACTGGGGCCAGTTAATTGTGGAAAGAAAACTAGATCGGTGACTAATAATAAAATTGAATAACTAATAAAATCAAATTACCTAATCTAATAAAATCAGATGACCTAATCCAGGATTATTACGGGTATCTCCCGCTTTTCAAAAGTTCAAATTAGTACACTTCACTCTTAGGAAAGGCCTACAGCAGGTCCTCAAATAATACCATTTCCGTTCATCATGCTTAGTTATAACTTGTCAAAAAAAAAAAAAAAGAGAGAGTGAAAGGCCACTACTAAACTTTACAAGCCCAAGGGGAAACCTGCATGGTGGTCCTTAGAAACTCAGAATGAAAGGAGCTACAAAGATGGTCTGAACATTAAAATTCCTAACTACAAGTGGGTCATACAAAGTAGTCATATCCTAGGCCTGTAGTTTCCTTGACAAAGGTCAATCTTTACCTTCAGTGAGCCTGTCTGCTGCCTTTTTGTGTCTGAGATAAGATACCTTTGCAATGCCAGAGTCACCTCATTTTACCCCCGGACATTTTGCAACACACCTTCTGTGGCAGAGCAAGAGCACACCAACCCCTCATTGTTACCTGCTTCCTGGAATACCATATGGATGTGCTGTAAAAGGCAATTATTAACTATCTTGTACCCACCAGTGTAAAAGAAATAGGTGCCTCTCCCTTTTACTTTTTATCTAGTCCCTGAGATTCCCCCACTTTGCCTTCTCCCATCCCTTTAACCTAACACCAATTGATTGTCCTGTAACCCTCCATACATTCTGATGTATAAACCCTCCTTTGATTCTGATGTACACAATGAGCTGAAAAACACTGTTCTCCAGAGCATTTTCTCAATCCGTTGCAGTTTCGCTCCAGCAGTTGTCATCAGTTTGGCTCCAATAAACTGATAAAAAGTTCTTTACACATTTGGACATTTCTTATGTCGCCATACTGTTGTTGATAAGATAGGAACTTAACTCTTATTTATATCACATAGTCTATAGTAAAATTATTTTCAGTTTTATGTGTTATTTTGTATGATTTGTTTATTTTGGGAGTCTGGGAATGCTTAAATTTTTCCCTTATAGATTAATGGTGATTGGTTTTTGCTTTACACCATTTTATCTTACAAAAGTGTTCGTAGGAATGTGCTACTTTGGATAATGGGGAAAACCTGTAATTCTAAAGCCTGTAATTCTAAAGCTCAGAAGTGGTCGACCAACATGAAATGAGGTCTTTGGTATCAAGAGCCACTACCTGTCAAAGCCTCTTAATCTTTCTGGGTTTCTCAAGGAAGAGTAGTTATTTTGAGATCTCTTGTGTTTCTTACATTCATTCATTCAACAGATACCTATTGGGGGCTCAATATATGCCAACTATATTATTATTTCTGCATGTCTTGTCTTCCCTTGTAAAGTATAAGATTCTAACAAGGTGATAGATGTAATATGTAGTACATGGTAGATGATTGATAACCTTGAGTGTCATTTAGGAATCCATGATCAGATCACTCTGTGAGGTTTTTGTAGAACCCTTTTTTATCCACAGCATCTTCGACATCTTAAGTTTTCCCAGGTCCCATAGCCCAGTGTAAATAATACACTGTCAATATATTTCCTTGAATGAATAAGCAAAACAGAGAATTCTTCAATATTATGTGAAGTGCCCAGCTCTGCGAATGTAAATCTCCCATTAATTTAAGGAGAAAATTTGCTCTAATGAGAGGAAAACTATGAAACCACCTTCTTGGACATAAAAGTATTTCCTTTATGCAGGTTCTGTATTTACATCCCTTCTGTGTACTGATAAGAAAACTGAATTTTTTACTGGTGGTGTTGGTGGTGAAATCAGTCCTCAGTTCTTGAGTTCAGCAAAGAAAGAATTCAGAGCCAAGAATGCAAATTATAAGAGTACATTTATTTAGAAAGTTACAGAGGTAGAAGGGGTGAGCCAGCTGGGCTGCGCAGGCTCAGGAAGCAAGTTGCAAAAGCAAACGAAGGGGCCTAGGAGCCTGGGAGAGAGAAAGGCAAAGGTAACGCACCTGGTGTGGGAGGAAAGAAGAGAGGGAAGGAGAAAGGTGCAGGTGCGCTCCCAAAAGAGAGAGCTCTGAATGCTCTTATGTCAACATTATCAAATGATTTTTAATATCAGACCTGTGCCTACCATCAGAAATAGAAACTTCATACTTGTAAAACATATTTTAGTTAATTGTGAAAAGCATAAAATGTGGCTTGAGTACAAATTAATAACATTAACATTAACATTAATATTAATATTAATATTAATATTAGTGGCCCGAGTACAAATTAATAATATTAATATTAATATCAATAATAATATTAGTTTGCATACTGCACTTATTGCTAATCACTTCAGATGTAAGGAAATTCAAAATAACAGTTTTTATTTTGTAAAAAAATTCTAATATTTTTTCAAAAAGATTTTTTTTTAAAAAGAGCAGCTTTTAATTTTGTCAGAGCAGTTACAATGTGCTGCCTCTCTTTTGCATTAACTTTGATGGATTAATTACAGGTCATACTGAGAGTTTCTACTTTGATATGAGGAAGGAGTAAATCACAGGTCTGGTTATTTGTTTAGACTCTTTACTTTCTTGCCATCCAGGTGTTGAAGATGAGTAATTATTTCTTTTTTATAGCCTCTTTTTTTATGAGCATGACTGTTAAAGAAAAGGAGGCTTATTTTTTTTTAATGATTTCAGGCCAAGTTTCAGCATTCTTGAAGTTCTGGTAGTGACTCAGCATCTCTATTTCCTGAGCAAAGAAAGAATTGATACCTCTCCTATATACACATCCTCCTCCCCATTAGTACTGCCCTAGAATGGCAACAGAACTCTAGATAAACCAAGTCCAAATAATTCAGGTAAGTAGCCGGAGTGGCATCACCCGTCACATCTCTCACCTAATGTCAGGTCTGCAGATATAGCCAAATGTAACTACTATTCTTTTTATGTAATTACTTCAATTTGAACATCTAGCTACTCAAGGAACCCCGTTTTTGAGTAAGGATCATTTTGTCTTTATGAAAACAGTGAGATCTTTTAGTTGAAATCCATGGTTTTGGTGAAAGAGAAAGGTCCTGGCAGAAAAAAAAACCCAAAACCTAAGAGAAGCAAGAGAGTAGAAAACAGGGCTGTGACCCATTTTCCTGTACCAACTCTCAGAAACCTGGGGCAGGGGTGGAGACAAAGTTGCCAACATAGGTATCTACCACTTAAGGCTTTGAGATCTTCCTTGATATATTCAAGGCTCTGTACCCTGCTTGACCAGAGCTCGGGCAGAAGCTGGCTCTACTTTTAGGAAACAAGACATACAAATATGAAACAACGTATAAAAGCAGCAACTTCATTCTCTCCACGTATATTTTTGCTGCACTTAGCTGTGTGCTAAATCCAGATACCATGATGGACCTTGGAGATACAAAGTAGAATACAGTGTGAACCCCAAACAAGAAGTCATTGTTACCACACTCTGTGAATGACCAGTGCTACTTAACAGCCCTGGCTCTTCATAGATTCTCTTTCTTTCTTCCTCCCCTCGCCCCTTCTCTCTTTTTTAAAAATTTACTGTTAAAGTGTGAGATATTTTGTTGTGGACAGAGAATTGACTTAACGCCAGAAAATAAATGTTTGAAACCAGAAGAAAACTCTCCAAGTAGATCTACTTTGAGATCTCGCTGGGATCTATTTAATATTCTGATGAATAATCTAGAAAGAGGGGTACAGAGACAACCCTTCCAGTTTGCTAATACTGATAAGGAGACATCAGTAGGCATGCACTTCAGGGAGACACTTTAAAAAACTAAGCAGATGTCAGAGTGATTTATTGCCACATAACAAATCACTCAAACTGAGTATCCTCAAATAATAACCATTGTACTTGCTCATAATTCTGCGGATCAGCAATTTGGGCCGGACTTGCTGGGGGCAGCTCTCCTGGTCCCACTGGTCATTACGTCCAGGGGTCTAAGTAGAAGCCAAAAGGTCTTTCAAGGCCTAGGCTCTGAAGTCACTCGAACTCTGCCAGACCAAGCAAATCACAAGGCCAGCCCAGATTCTTGGGAAGAAACATAGAGTCCACCTCCTAATGGTGGAATGGCAAAGTTACCTGGCAGCGGGGCCTGCACCAGTGGGGTGGAGGAATGGCTGCGACCATCTTTGCAAGCCACCTGCCACCTCGGGCTGCCTGCTCTAACTAAAAGGCAGGACAGTAAGTTCCATCAGGGAGAGCTTTAGAAACTGCTAAATTATATTCGAATTGTTTTTTTTTT